ATGTGGCGTACATATGAATATTGACGTATGTGAAGTTTTCAATAGTAAATTAAGAGTAGTTTACAAGAGAAACCTGTAAATTTGGCTGTAACACAATGATTTTAAACTTCATTTTAAAACTTATCATATCCATTTCGAAGGAATAGAAGGTAATAGGACAGTAAAGGATATGTATTTTTGTAATGTTTGGCATGCTCAGATGTATGTCCACCAGTGTCCACTTCTTTAATAATCAATCTCATATCACACAAATTGTCATAATATGGGGTTCACTGCTCCTCTAACTGGTCTTAATTCGCGATACTTTTCCTAAAACTACACTGTGGCCCTGGCCCAGCTAAAAGAATCTGAAGAAATGTAAAAGGTTCGTTTGTCTGTGATAATGCGTGATTAAAAATTTAACATTGTCGCGTCAAATGAATGTCCTCATCAACATACACATTGTCGGGTGGCGGTGGTCTTGATGTGATCAAAGAAAGACTCTCATTATTAGTCCATCTGTAGTAGGGTCCATGGTTATACCTTGGATACCTTGAATACCTTCTGGAAGAATAGCTTCTGGAAGAAAGCCGTCTCCAGCTGTCGAGCTTCCAGATCTAACTTCAAGGGGGGGGTCCCAGCTTCCCGGTCTTGCAACTTGGTCATTGTACATCTGTGTCTTGCTTGCTGGGTCATATCAGGATTGTCATAATTATAGTGTCTACTGGGAGAAGGGTGAATTATATTCCTCCTTCTTCCAGTGTTTGTCACACCATGATTTCTGTCATGAGCAAAAAGGACGGCATATATTTATAACTCAAGAGGATGGAAATTGTTATGGATAAAAAAAAAATAGATTTATAACATTTTCATAACACATTGAAATGCATAAATACCTCATTTCAAGTGTCTCAATGCATGTAGTGACAAAGTTACAGTTAAATTTGAGTTAAACTATTAAATTAATAATGTTATTAAGATATAACAGGTATAATGGCAGTACGCAATATCATTTACTGTCGTGGTAAGGATTAGCCTTGTTTTTTCTATGCAGCTTTTGATTCTTGTAAAAGTATTTGAAAAGAAATGATATTTTATTGTGGGAATTATAATTTCCGTCGTGATATCATTATTACAGGTGATCATCCCCTCGGAAAAAGGTAGGGTCACGTTAGGGCTGATGAGATGTACATTCACACAAAATGTAGTTCACAAAATATGCGCATAGTCAGCAGATGCGCTTCTTTTGTAATGAATCTGAATAACAATGCATTTGGATAGGCGCACTGGTTTGGCCAGAGTACAGGGTGTGGTACGGCCTTGATTAAGCGTAACACGTGTTGTGTAATGGTAATATGTTCTAGTGTGTAGGCATTTCACGTCACTTTGCAACTTGAAGTCGAGGTGCCTGCAACGTCAATGCATGTGCCAGCCAGGATGAGTTGAAAGCATTATGATGTTTTGGCAGTTTATTACTTGGTATTTAGAACTCTGGCTGATATATAAATATATTATTTACATGTTTAGAGTCAGTTTTTATGAGTAAATGTTGTATTGTGTGCTTACACAAGTGGAAAGGAATTCATGTATTAGAGAATAATGTGATACATTTTCTTACTCGATTGAACTGATAATGGATATTCTCAAAAATAATATTTGATATTAAGCTTATTTTATGCTCACTTGTATACTGAATAGTGATATTTGTAGAGAATTCAGAGTATTAGCTTTCCAAGGAGATATAACAGATTTGTTTTATTGCATTGAATTGGTTGCTGTTTGTGCATTTATAGTTGTCGTAGAGGGCGGCCGAATGTAAACAAACCATTAGAGATAGCTGCGCCCATGTGGATCGATTGTCGATAAATAATGCTGTTTTTGATTATCCTAGGTGTTATAGTAAAATACGAATTAGTTGATTATGATGGAAGAAATGATGTGTTGCTACATTTGTAGTTATAAATGTATAAATAAGTATGAATGCCATGAATAAGTACGTCAGTGGTGCAAAACAATTTCATTAAGTTTGAATTTAATTATATTGATATGCCACATAGGCCTTACATGAAGATTAGGCTGTCAGAATAGCCAGAAAAGAAATGCATGGTTGTTTTCATTGATTGTAACTGTTATCTGTTGGTTGTTGAGGGATTCTGTCTCTGGTCACGGACCTGGGGTAAGCATCTTGTATATGTGTATAGTATTGAATGATCCAGTTGTCAAGTAATGTTCTCTTTGATTTTATTAATATTTTTAATTTTGATATAACTCAATCATTCATAGTGATGTTACATTTCAGAGTTGCTTGCATAAACTGTGGATATTTGTAGACCGAGTGTTGTCTGTTTGATAACAGAATCGTGACGTTACAATGTGTTGTATGACGTTTAGTACAAATGTATACCATGTTTGTAATTTAAATGAGTACAATAATGTACTTGGTATTTAAGATTTGCACCGTGCCTGTAAAATTGCTTCCGTTTGTATAATGATAAGGTAATAAGAAATACTTCAGCATTTCAAAGTGCACTTATGGAATTACTTCAGCTCATTGCCAGGATTTTAGAATGACCACTTGTATTTTATTGTGATCAAATGCTATTTAGATTATTGATTCTTGTTGGAATTTTAATTCAGGTTAATTTCCATTTGAAACTTAAGGAAGAGTTTATATTACTAGGGGGTAATGAGTGAAGTTTAGTTAGAATAGTGATACAAACTAGGAGTGTGTGTAGGCAGGCGCGTACGCAGGGGGGGGGGGGGGGGGGTTTGGGGGGTTAAACCCCCCCCCTTTGGGATTTTTTTATGTGTAAACCCCCCTAAAAAAACCCCCCCCCCCCCCCCCTTTTGGATTTTTTTTCTTTTTTTTTTTTTTTTTTTTTTTTTTTAATTATTAAAAAAAAAAAAAAAAAATTCCCATGGCCGACCTAAAAAAGGTGACCTCACCCCCCCCCCCCCAACGGAGCAAAATGTCAAATTTCCAAATTTCGAGACCAAAAAAAAAAAAAAAAAAGTGTCCTCTTACCCAAATTTCGAGACCAAAAAAAAAAAAAAAAAAGTGTCCTCTTACCCCCTCCCCCCCCCCCCCGCTTATTCAGCGGTCGGCTGAGTCGTTGCGATTTTTTTGGGACCAAAAAAAAATAAAAATGTGTCCTCTTACCCCTCCCCCCCGCTTATTCAGCGGTCGGCTGAGTCGTTGCGATTTTTTGGGGACCAAAAAAAAAAAAATGTGTCCTCTTACCCCCCCCCCCCCCCCCCCCCCCCCCCCCCGCTTATTCAGCGGCTGGCTGAGTCGTTGCGAAATTTTCGGACCGATTTATAAATGTTAAAACCCCCCCCCCCCCCCCCCCTTGAAAAAATCCTGCGTACGCGCCTGTGTGTAGGTCATGTAGAGATTTACAGTGTTCCCATGAGGCCTGCCAGTTGGAGGCCTTTGGTGGAATATGCAATGATGTATGCATATTAACTATTGTAAACTTGTCATCAATTCCAGCAAATGTGTGGAAATTATACTGAATGAATTTACCTGTATCAATCTTTGACCTAAATTCATAGTGTTATATCTTGTTATTCTGATATGACATGTAAATGTTCACATTGTACTATGATATGCAACTGTCTTTTGCAGATATCGTGTATGTGATGTACTATTTTGAACATGTACTTATTGCCTTTCCAGGATTTTGTTTTTAATTTTGTTTACGAAGTGTGAATAAACTACGCTACACCGCACTAGACCTTGTACGATTCTTTTTATTGGATCACTCCAACTGCGACGTTATCAATTATTCCTGACTTACTTGTTTTTGTTTTTGTTCGTTTTTTCTCTCCATGTGTTGGCATATTGAAACAAAACAAGGTCTGTGAACATATTAATGTGTAATACAACCCTTATAATAACGGTTTCATATGTATGAAAGCAGAAAAACACAATGGCGAGAGTTTGCAATAAATCAGACCAACAAATTTAAATATACGTGATCACAACATTTTAGTCACGTTGTGTGTTAAACCAAATATGAAAGTTGTACGGCACTATTATGTTACAGTGTAATAATAGATTGAGCCCATTTAAAGTGCCAATACATATTTAGGCCTATAGGAACTACAATTAACTTTCATAAATTAATTACCGTTTTATTTGTGTCCTATTTCATTCAACTATTACCAATCTACTTCTCTGATTTGCCTGCTTTATTCTTTGATTAGTTGTATGCAATTAGATTTCCCTGTCTGTTATATTGATGGTTTGGGAATTATAGTATATTACCAAACACAATTACAATAAACATGTTTGAAAATAAATGGAAGAGATGATCAGAGGCAAGGATATGCAAGAGATGCTATATAGAACTAGACGATGAGAGGATAAAATATAAGATAAGTTTTTAAGTGATGAATAAAAAGAGATGATACATTACGATATATACAATGCTTCCTGAATATTGGTGCAAATGTTTTACAGTTAACTCTGCATGAGTCGAAGTCTGCACATTACAGGGATTTGCATGCGCACTATTATTACTTCTGATTGGTCTAGGCAGCCTAATCGGTGCTGGTATTGGTCTCTACATTCATATTAATAATCAGACTGAACCTACTTTGAATATTACAGCAGCAGGACACTGTTTAATAATATGGTGATCATATAAAGGACAAGACTATACTGATAACAAGTCGCTTATATAAAGCCTATATATTTGTTATATATGGAACCAGAAAACTGCATGATAAGTAACATGTAATAAAAAGAACGTTATCAATTTCACGATTTCACGGGGGGGGGGGGGGGGAATTGAGCCTCCCTGGCCCCCTCTAGAACTGCTACTGGTAAATGATTGCAAACAATTGCCCATAACGCGCATCATTTAGAAGTGATATCTATATGCATTGTTGAGTTTGAACCAATTTTCATAGCATAGAGGAACGCTTATTTTCCCCGAACCACTATTTTTTTTTAGTATGGGAATGACGCCCTCTATCCGCCAGACTTCCATAGGCCGTGTCGCTTCGGTGGCCACATGGATTGTCACATGCCTGAGTTCCACCACGGGTCACGTGGTTTCAAGCCGATGCGACCACCACCACCACCACCCCACTTCCCCCACGGTCATACTCCCATCATGGAACGCCCCTTTGGTAATGACGGATTAGAACCTCCCTTCGGGCACGACGCATTGGAACCTCCCGCACCTGAGGGTCCCCGGACTCGCCTACACGAGAGACCCCCTGCTCCACCTGGACCTCTCCCTGGTGGTCCCCCGCACGGCAGGCGGCCTGGATCAGAAGGTTCCCGTAGGCTCGGACCTGGGTACGACCTACACCACGGCGGACCCGTAGAGCACGAGCACGCGAGACGAAGAGGGAAAGTCAACAGAGCTTACCATCATAACAACCTACCATAATCGACACATCGTAAGAACTTAACTCTTATCACGCCACAGGGCTAATCCCCATTGTGCCTAGCCCCAAATCCCTCCGTGCCAAGTTTTTTTTGAGATAATCTGATTAACCCGATGGTTCTATGAATAGCGCGTGCAAAACACACAGCACTGTCCAATGAGCATGAACAATAACTGGTATTACGAATGCGTGCAAGCATGCACAAGGCACTGAAGCAATGGCTCTCTCGTATGTACAAAGCACTATAACGGTAGCTTGTGTGCAGCCTTATGGCAAGCTTGGAGTTAAATACGCTGATTGATTCATTAGTTGATTTTATTTACCAAATGTAAAAGAGGCCATAAACGATGATACGACAAATTAATTTGGAAGGAAGACCCTAATAACTGACCAAGCCCATTGAGGTTGATTCTATACATTGCAGCGATGCACATTTTGTTTATTTTCTTCGGGTTATCATTATACTTTAAAGAGTTAACACTATTCCACATGCTCCAATGTTAAAAATGAAACTCGTTTAAGATATATATTTGATCATTTTTTTTAATAACAAACTGAAATCAACCACAACTTATCACTATATTGTTTACTATAAGGCTCTAGTGCATTTTAACTAGCGTGATACCTTACACATAAAGCAGAGTTTATGACATTATCAAAAACGACCTGATTTATAAGTTCAAGGGTAATTACTTTAACGAACATTTTAAATATATTTTAAAATGCAACATATTATAATTTGCAAGAAAGATTGAATAAAAGAAATCGTGAAAGCTTACAAATTAACCATCTCCCTCTAACTTCTTCTTCTTCTTCCTCCTCTTCTTTTTATTCTCCCATCTCTTTTCTTATGCAGCTTAGATCTTGAAGATTGTCAGCTTTCTGAATGTGGAAGGCGCTCTTCGATCTTTTCTTTCTTCCGATCACAGACAAGAGTATAGTGACGTCACTTTACCACCACTCAACAGTATGGCGATCTATACAGAGGGTTTAGCTAAATAAGTTTAAGTTGGATACACAATGGCGTCTATGTTTTCGTTTTGTGATTGCCCCACAAAACAGTATTCACCTTATAATGCCCAATTCATAACGGGTTAGCCAAACTGTTCTAGTCAATGGCTCTGGTTACCGATATTATGGAGCGACCTCAACGGCCAGAGATGGGCGCACTGGTGTGACATTTTAATCACTAAAAAGTGCCTTGTATATTTGTTGTATATTACAGATTTCATTACAGATTACAGATTTAAAACTCCTTTGCGGATTCGGGCTATTGTGTGTATGCCGATAAACTGGAAATTAGTTGTAGATACGAAAACTGCTGAACGTATAGTTACGAGGTTATTTCAGCATTTCCTTTTCCTTCCAAGCTTGTAATATGAAATTGAGTTTAAAAATAAATATTTCCTCCATTTTGTATGAGGTATCTCATGCTATCGCTCATAAAAAAAACACACACACAATATGATAAAGATTTAGTAGATTTCTGGTCAAAAGATAATAATATTGTTAAAGAAACTGAAAGTAATGAGGAAAAATGTATTGGTATATAAATGTGATGTTTGAGAATAACAAAAATGATTATAAATTAATTTATGCTCGCCGACATGGACATATAAATGTGTATATAGGACTACCCACTTTGGAGTGAATGTTTGGCCACATGTTCAGCTACTTCTCACCATAACTATTATTAAAGTTTGTTTGCTCACAATTAATTTACGTTTATGATATTTAATTAAAGGATTGCTATGCATGTCTTGATCAATCTCGGGTGATTTGTATGTATGACGTAACTGTTGATTATAGTCTACACTAGATGTTGAATACATGGCCCATTGAAGAACATCCCGTTTCAGGCGATATTATCTCTCTTCATATTCGTATACACAAACATACATCTGACATATAAGTTAACCTTTAATAGAACCTAAAACTTCTCTCACGCAAACTACTCCGGTTGACGTTCAGATGTAGATAACTCCAATTAGAAAGCTAGTCTGAATGTTCTGTTAACCGAATTCTAAAGGCTACTATTGGACAGACATAACTGTGATATTCGCATGAAAACTTGAAATAATTATTTGGAAATACAGAGAATCGAGGGGAAAACATACCTACAACCTTGTAGGCCTATCATACGTGATCTCAAATCAAAATGTTGGTCTGACTATCATCTTGATGTTGACGTTCGGACCTCACAACCGTTATTATGACGTCACAAAAAGTAATGACTTTCACGGGGCAAAGTCATGCGAAAACTTAAGATTTTGAATACAAAGTAAGAACATATTCATTTCAAAAACATTGTGCAATATATTACATATAATCTTGATCGATCACATATATATGACGTCATCCATGGTATAGTGCCATGGATGACGTCACGGTTACATCATAGCAATTTTATGTTTGGTCACATGATGCTATCATGTTTACCAATCACTGAACAGGATTTCATTGATCAACAATATATTGTGCATATAATCGTATGTAAATGAATATGAATCCTCTCAGTTATTTCAATATAATGTACAGATAGCATGAAATATACACGTTAAAATTGGTAAATTTCGTTGAATATTATTGCATGTGAAATAAAATAATATGTTGTACATACAGTAGGGCACTTTTAGCAATCATTATATGATATATTCTTGTAAGAGTTGATGCACCTTTCTTTTAAATGTAGACATTCCCCCTTCAAAAAGTTAGGAGACTCTAGTTAAAGTAATGATATCTCTCTTGTCATAACATGATCATCTCTTTGTTTGGGATTATTATAAACTATGCTTATTATATTTCTAATAATAACACCATATTTGATATGATTCTGCAGCCAAGGAATCAGCAGTATATCAGACTAAGGGGCACGGTCAGAAGTGAAATACATTGGTAATAATAATACTAACGTTTTAGTTACCCAGGGTAGCCACTTCAGTTATGAAACTGTTATTCCAGCGGGCCCTGCATAACATAATATGTTATTACTACCCTTCTCCAATCTAATATGCTGAGCACCTAGCTAGAAGGCAGAATGTCTAATTGTTACAAGTCTTTGGTATGAATTGGCCGTGGTTCGAACCCACGACCTCCCGTTCATGAGACAGGCGCTCTAACTACTGAGCCACCATGCCCGGTAACCATTGATATTGCTGTACCGTGAACTACATAGCAGCCCTACACTCTTCAAATAAAGAATAAAGCACAGCCGAACAATATTAATGCATTTTGCTACGTTTTAATTTTAACCTTGCCCCTTATTTTGATGTAAAGCACAGTCTATGATTACAAATCATAACAAAATAGAGAATAAGTACCGATGGTTATGGATATGCAATTGAGATATAGTCAATCAAACTTGAGTTTCCAAACTTTATTTGATGAATTTAGTTTATTCTGCTTTTTGACTTAAATACATGCCGCATGAGTTGCAAGGAAAAAAACACAGTAAGGATACAATTCCATTTTAACAGTTCTTTGATAATTCTTAGAAACAGAATTTCCAATATCAATAATCATACAAGATCGTCTTTATTGTTTAATGTGCACATTATATGTTATAGCGTGTAATTATATATTTTTTCAGTAGTTATTCAGCACGTAAATATTATTTCGGTAGTTGCTAATTTTTATAAATAAATGTATTGATCTAAGATAATTTATTAAATTGTACAAACAATCTGAATAATTTGTGTTAGTTGTGTGCTTTTGATGATATGAGTCATTTTGTTGTAAAGCAAATAATACACATATCATTTGCCATTAGAGAGAGAGAGAACAGGAAAATAATCGGCATAATAAAGAGAAAGGGCAAACAAAGTAGAACATACAAAAAAGGGACAGATAACAATTTCCAGAAGTAAATACATAAACAAACTAGACATATAATACTTGTTTGGAACAAGTATAGGTGGGCTGGTCAACTAAAATTTGGCACAAAATAGAGCAAAAATAAGCGAGATACTGCTAAAAAACAATGTCATATAGATTAATGATGTGAAAGAAATTCCCCTTCCTTAGGCATAACACGCAACTTAAGAAATTTCTGATATGTGCCCTTTAATCGTAATTTTTACTATGATGACGTGATCAAAATGAAAAATAACTGAGCTTGTAGAGAATTGTCGTAGCTACATCATATCGAAATTTGGAAGAAAATCGATCAATATTTACAGAGATACAATCAATTTTACATAAATATGCTGACTTCATAATATGCAAATTCGTATTTTGAGTTCCAAGGCCATTATGATGATGTCACGATACACTTAATGGGCAAATGAAACATGAAATCATATTTCCGACTCAAACTCTATCTAAATATGAAAAAAAATTGAAGGTCATGGTTCATTCCAAAGAGCTAAAATGGATTTTGTATAGGCATGTTTTTGCCCATATATGCTATGTATTAAAAGAGCTCGCACGCACCGACATTTTTCTTGAATTGACGCTCATCTTGTTATTAAAGGTCATAAAGAGATGAACATGGTATCAAATTCTTCGAAAAAATATGAAAAATATCATGAAAGAAAACAAAATGTCGATTCTATGTTTTGTGATGGTGTTACGCGCGAAAACGCGCGCGAATGCGCGTGTGCGCGGTTTTTTATGAAATGCTTAAAATGACCTGAAACGTATGCAAAAAAAATTTGAGACGATTTTGAGCATTTTAAAATTTTGCGCGCGTATTGACGCGCGGACGTACGCGTACGCGCGCGTTTTTTGTCCTGAAATTGATTGGACGGATATTGACCTCAATCATGATAAATATGAATGAGAAATGGTTTTTGGTTATGAAGATATGATCAAGAGTTTATTTTCAGAAAATTTCACAAAATGGCGCCTAGATGACGTCAACAGTCAAGGTCAAGGTTGAAAACGTTTTTTTTTAATTTCTCTATATGCCTATACATAAGTGTGTCAAATTTCAAAGCATTTGATTGAACCATTTTAAAGTTATCTTGTTCACAAAAAAGTGGGTCGAAATAAGAAAAAAAAA